CACAGGCACCGCCAGGCTCTGAGCCGAGCGGGATGCTGCGCCACAAAGAGCCGCAGCGATGGAGGGAGGAAGAGGGAAGGGCAGCGTCACCTTCACGCTCAGATGACTCGGAGGCTCAGGTGGGAGGCTTAAATCCGGGGAGACCCGCGCCGTCGCGACCTCTCCATTGTGTTTACCGTCCTTTCCATCACCTTCTAAACCACAAATAGAACCCGAGAGAGGCCGAGAGAAGGTAGATCAGACCTCTTGCTCCTCAGGCAGCACTTTCGACAGGCGCTCCTTAATTTAATGCTCGGGCTTTTCCTTTAAGTCACTCGAAACGTGTGTGATCTTAAAGATTAAAAAAAAATCTTAGAGCTTTTACTTAACAAGATTGCGTATTATTAAAAATTAATCCTCAAAATAACCCTCTGCTTTAAGTAATGGACTGAATCAGAGGGATCGGCATAGAAAATGGCATATAACACTGGGAAAACTTGCCTTTGGGTGGGTAATAAGTTCTAATGGGCTTTACTGTTTTATTTATTAACTTAAATTTTTGTTTCCTATCAAAGTGCAGCACGACCTTCCTCAGGTTGCTGTGGAAGTAGAAGGAGGTAACTCTGGGATCCCTGGATTAAGAGGTGTGCTAACTACTGGTTCTGGGGGACATTTCTGATTTGTGCCACCCCTCCCCCCCCCGCCTCCCGTGGCATGAAATTCTTCACTGTGTTTGGTGTGAGGTCAGTTGCTTCATCAGATTGCTGCCAGTTCAGCAAAGCGCCTTGGGGAGCCAGTTGCTGGACCCATCCTGGTTCTCACATCAGCTGCGGGTAGATTTGAGCACCTCACTGGGGTGGTGGTAGGGTTGGAGCTGCCCTATGTGATTTGCTAAGTGATTGAGAGAATTCTTGAGGGCCACCATATTGGGGAGGGGCTGAATTGCTAGGGCCTGCACCTTTTCCCATTTCAGTTTTTTTAGGGCAAGGAAGGCCTGGTTTTACAGGACTGGAATTCCAGCACTCAGGAGGCAGAGACTGGAGACTGCCGCCAGTTCGAAGTCAGTCTGGACTTAGAGTAAGATTCTGTCTCAAAATACAAACCAAGCTAGCAAAAGTAAACACACACACAAACACACACACACACACACACACACACTCACGGTGAGTGGGGAGGTTAGGAGGGAGAGAGACAGACAGACAGAACAGAGAGAAAAAGATTGATTCCCAAACCAAGCAGGTAGTCCTGGTTTCAGATTTAGAATTCTGTACAAGATATTTTTTTTAAGACAAAGGCCTAGAACAGGAAAAGATAACATTAGAAACCATTTGAATGGCTGAACTTACCTCCTCATTTCATTTATAAAAAAGATAACATTAGAAACCATTTGAATGGCTGAACTTATCTGTTCATTTTCATTTATTATGATGATGCTATGAAACTATAAATGTGGATCAAACACCAACATACTAGTCCATGGACAGTACTTATGGTACTACAATACTTTCCCATTCTTGATTAAATACTAATTCTGGCTGAAAGAGACAAGCATGTTTGAATGGAGTTGTATTCATGTGACCACAAACCTTTTAAAATGAGAAGGACCTTAGATATATTTTTTCCTCAAGGATTTTCAGATAAGCAAGTTCATTAGAACTTCCTTAGAAGGTATGTGGGGAGGAAGGGAGGAGGAGGAGGAGGAGGAGGAGGAGGAAGAGGAGAAGGAGGAGAGAGGGGGGAGGGAGGGAGACAGACAGACAGACAGACAGACAGACAGACATAAGTTAATCTATGTGTACCCAGTCTGCTCTCCCTGCCATGTGCCATATCATGCCCCTCACAGAAAGCGGTTCCTGTATTTTAAGTATGACAACTGATACTGTCATTTGCTTCCCTAAAAATAAAACAAAAACCTAACAAAACTGAAAAACAAGCAAACAAAAAGATAATAAACTTCAATGAAAACTTTGTTACTAGTCCCACAGCTAGTAAGAGGCAAAGTCAGATTTGGAATTAAGGATGTAGGCTTCTAGTCCAGCATCGTTTTCCTTTTCAGAAGCCATCTTTAACATTTAACACAGATGCAACCAGTTGAAATAAACTCTACAAAATGCAGATGCTATCAATGGTTCACGCTCTGCTTTGAAAGAAAGTTACTAGTGAATGTCTAAATGGTTCAGTTTCTTGTTTCCACTAGCACAGTAAATCACTCAAAAATGTCACCAAATATTCAACAATTCGTCCTTTATACAGTGTAATAATCAAGGGCCCTGAATACACAAAGATAGACAATGATAATCAGATTGAACTTAGTTGTTCTTAGAAAAGCAGCCCCAGGTCTAGGTCTTCAGCTGCCCTGAACCTTATCCTGAATTCGTTTTTCCTTAAGCCATTCAGTTTCTTCAAAATACCTATTATAGATGTTCTTTAAAACTTGATGTTATATACTAACAACCTATATACCCAGTAAACAAATTGATGAATAAGTTCAAATAAGTATAAACAACACAAAGTTCCATTTTTGTCAAACTTTGTTACTTATCATATATTTAGGCAAAAAAATAAAAATTTCGACAGTTCAATGGTTTTGTTTTTTTAAAAAGACAGGATCTCGCTATGCATGTAGTCAAAGATGGAAGTTGAGATATTCCTGCCTGAGTCTCACAGATGTTGGAATTTTACATAACTGTCACACACAACTTTTTAAAAGAATGGTATTTAATGAGCAGCTTAACTCTGCTAAGGATGGTCCACTGTTGTAATTATAATATTATGTACATGTATATTCATAGATGATATCTCCCCTTTTAAAATTGTGATCATTGCAACTTCTGTATTGTTTGATGGCAGAAATGCTAATTATTCCTCTGGCTAGTAAATGGTTTGCAAGTTTTAACAAATCCTTCTAACTCTGTAGTAGTAGTTACCTTACAAGGAAAACTGGAATAATTCTATTAGAAAACATTTGTAGGAACAATTAACTATTCTTGGTGTCATTGCCACAGAGCATTAAACATGGCAACTTCCTGCAGAAAAATGGCCATTTCTTGGCCAACAGTCTGAAATCACTGCAGTTACAGAGGGATTCCCATGAGACTAAAAATACAACCCAAAGTGCCCAATGGTGAGAGGATTCATCTCCAAACACAATCTAGAAACAGCAAACCTGGGTGCTGTTAAATAGTTTCGGTTCACAGAAATATTAACATGTGCCTTGGTAGCTTCATTTCCTCTCTTTCCTAGAAAGCTGTATCTTGTGTAGTACACAGTGAAGTGAAATGATATAACCAGAAAATTCCAGTCCTAACAAAATGACAGATCGAAAGCATGTCATACAGAAAGTTATCACACACTTGGGATAGTCCTTTAAAAAGTTAATTCAGTAACACTGGCTTTTACTTTTGGGATTTTATAAATTCTCTTGGTCTTTTCTTTTGTTCAAGGTCAATAAAGCAAGTGTTGTCTCTAATAAGATAGGACAAATAACACTGCATGCTGTAAATAAGAGCACTGAAAATTTACACACAAGTAGATCTTTTTGTTTGGAGGGTTTCTTAATTTTCAGATACTTGTTGACTTGCCAGTAATTCTATTACCCTGTTATAGAAACACTCCAAAGATGCTAAATTTGGAATTTAATATTATTGTGGTTCTATCCCAATCTTACCATGTACTACTCCTGAATCTATTTTCTGGAGTATAAATGATGGTTAACAATATCTAAGTCAAGCACTGAAACAGAATAGGATGTTATAGCCTAGGACATTGTGTGTGCTCAGTTAGTCACGGTGATAACTTTCCCTGAGTGCCACAATCCTCCTGTGGAGATGGTGGGAGGCAGTTGTCTAGGAAATGGCATATTTCTCAACCTTTCCCCAGCATCCCTTCTTTGAAAGTAGCTCATCCAAGATAGTTTAACTACTTTCTGTTAACTTTGTCAATAATAAGGGTGAGCTATTTTGACAGAGAAGTGCCAGATTTAACTAATTGATAGGAAGTGTTTCACTGCAGCTTGAGGGAGCTATCATTTTACTTCCACTAAAGGACAGCTGCTATCTCCTATGATACACTGAATATACAGAAAATTACATCTACAATGTTTAGGCAGGTTAGTCTGCTACTTGAAGGAAAATACATCAATGAAAGTTTTGGAATAGTGCACAAGTGGAAACAGGAAGTGAGGTGAGAAATGAGAATGATGATCTTTAATGGGCAAAGGATTAGAACATATTTGTGTTCAAGAATTCGATTCTTTGGACAGTCTTAAACCATCTGGATGACAAGGCTCAGAGAGCTTCAAAGGCCCCGTGAAAAAGATTATTTTCCTTTTAGCCTCTTTGCCTACTGCAATTAACGCTGTTCAGTGTGCACTGTCAACTTTAGAAAAAAAAATTGTCATCTGGCCTCTCTTAGCCCACTGGTATGCACTTCAGAATATTCCTTAAAACAAACAAACAAAAAACTGTGCAATTGTGTTCCGATTGTCCGTTATTCCAAAGTTCGCTCCAGAACCTAAATAATTACGCTCAAACCACATTCATGATGTGTTCATGAAGGCCCAGACCCCGAGGCAGGAGCATCATTAATGTATCAAGTTCACATCTTTCTAAAGATCACTTTCAGCGGAGCACAGAAGGTACACTATGATTTCTTTATAATAAAACACAAATATCTGGCAGTTTCTAAGGATTTTGTGCAGCAGCCAGTTTCACCGATCCTGTCCAGAGAAGGTTAGCATCCTTTCAGGCCGCCCTGAACTCCCGGCTTCGCTCTGCAACTGTCCTCACGGACCTCAGTCCCGCCTCAGCTGCCGACCAATGGCTGATGCCTCTCGTCCTGCCATCCCGCCTTCCTGCGTTACATTAACCAATAGGAATGACCATTTGGAGGCAGCAGCCAATGGGAACTGGGGGAGACGGAGGCCGGTCCTCCCGCGGTGCAAGCTGGGCCTCCGCTCCGTTGCCCGGGAGCCGAGACCGCCGAGCTGCCGCCCACAGCCGCGGGTCCCCTATAGTGAGTGAGTTCAAACTCCTGGCAGCCGCTGTAGGCAGCGTCCCGGTATTCCTCGCCTCCGGCCGCAGCCGTCGGTCGGGCTCGCGGATCAGAGGGGTGATCCAGGCAGGAGCGGGCAGCGCCGGCTTGGAGGGTAAGGGGCGGGCCGAAGCCAAGAGAAGAGGTCTGCGGCAGGGGGATGGACGCGATGGGGCGGAGCGGGGAGGCTGATGCGGCGCTGGGGCGGAGCAGGAGAAAGTTAGGAGCCTTTGCTAGCCCTGAAAAGCGGGAGGAAAGTGCGGTGCAGGCGGAATCAGAGAAGGGCGAAGTTCCCAGAAAGAAACCTCTGGAGGCTGGTGGAGATCCGGGTGGATGGGCGTGGAGCCTTTCAGAGGCGTGTTATTACTACACTGTCATTACAGGGGACAGCACCCTGGCCAGGCTGGGAATTACTTTTATATGTCCTCGAGGGATGGAATGAGACGACTAGAGGTAGTTAGCAAAACCTACCTGTTGACATAGTTGCGTTGGGGTGGGCACAGACGCTTTGCTTCGCGTGGGGGTGAACAAGGGGACAGTGTTTCTGAGTGTGAAGGGCTGGTCCAGTTCACCCAAGTATAAACTCTTACTGACTTCGTGGGCTTGAAAACTAATGGCATCTATTGGCAACAAGTTACTCGCGGCAGGCAGTACTTCCTCCCCCCCCTTGGGGGGTGCGATGAATAGTAGATTCGTTGTGAGGATTAATTTTATGGAGGTATTTGTACCTATGTTTGGGTAAATTGTGTGTGTGTGTGTGTGTGTGTGTGTGTGTGTGTGTGTGTGTGTGTGTGTGTGACGATTTTATGAAAGTAGATTTATTTTTTTAGGCTTAGTTTTGTGACTTTCCCGTCATGGAACAGTCCCTGTCTGCTCATTTCCACCCCGAAGTTTGAGGGTCTAAGCTCATCGCCCAAGCAGAGTACAATTGACCACATACATGTTTATGCCCAACCATACATTCAGGATTAGATGTCTTTGGGATCAAAAGTCATCATTTAGTTCAGCAGTTAAGAGCATTGACTACTCTTCCAGAAGACCCAGGTCGGATTCCCAGCAGCCATATGACAGGTCACAACTACTGTCTGTAACTCCAGTTCTAAGGAATTCATTGCTCTCTTCTGGCCTCTTTGGGTACCGAGAATGCACATGGTGCACAGACATTTGCACATATTAATACATAAATAAGTAACAGGCACCAAGGGAAAAGGTGCATGGAGGTTGCATTTTGCCCATGTTCATTAATCTGTATTCTTTCTATTCTCTTTCCACACTCCAGTTTTATTTATCACTTATAATGTTTCATTCTGAGATTGTTTGCATACTGGCTACTGTGTTTATTCAATTGTAGGACTGGAAAGTCTAGTTTTCTTAGTCTTTGAGTGATAAACCACCATTCAGACGTCCCTTGAAAAAGAGATGTTTCTGGAGATGCATCTCCTTAACATCACAGAACTAATTCCACAACTCTTGCTAGAAGACTCAAGCAGTTCTCCTTTCTGTTGTCAACTCTGGAAGACACCCCACTGCCCACCGCAGCTTAATCTTCCTTTTTTTCCCATAGCATCCTTTTCTTGGCCAGCTCCCCCCTTCCTTTGGGCTTCTACCATCTATAACTAATTAGCACATCCCAAGTTTTGCATCTCTTCATCTCCTGTGTAGGCAATTCCAGGCATTTCCACTCAGCTTAACCTGCCCACAGGTATTCCTGACAAACCCCATGCAGATGCCTGGTATCATTTGCATCCAGCTTTCCAAGTCAAAAACTTTGAAATTCATTCAGGTTCTCTTCTCATACTCCACATTTAATCCGTCATCAACTCTAGGTTATTTGCCTTGCTAAAATGTCTCTGACATCAGTTTGAAGCCCTGTATTCTAGTTATGCCACTACAGCTCAAGCCTCCATGGTTGACATGGACCCTTGTAAAGGTCATGTCTGTGTGCCCTGATTTTCCTGAGGACCCTTTGTTTCCATATGAAATCTTCCTGCGATGGTGCCTTCCTCCTGATCCAGATTCACTCATTACTTACTGATGCTCACAGCCAGCATACTCATTTCAAACCAGATTGTCTAATATTAATATAATGTGAAGCATATTGACTTTTCAGTAAGCTTACAAAAATATAAACAGGTAAGGTTAATATTAATATATGGTTAACTGAATAATCCAAAATACTGCTTTAACACATAACCAATATGGGAAGATTATTAAAGAGATAATCTGAGGCTGCTTATTTAAATACCAGTGAACAATCTTCAGTTCCATCCATTTTCCTTCAATATCATGTTTACAGGTGAATACATTTCATCATCTGCTGGGGGATGTCTAGGCTGAGCTATATCAAGGCTGAGCAGTAAGCACGGAAGTCCCACACACATATTCCCATCGCCACGTATCTCAGTTCTGATGATCCACATTTCACATGCCTAGCAACCATTTGCAATTTGAAGGTATGCTGTGTTTTTGTTATTAGGCCCTAGCTGGCTTAGCATAGGGACTAGGCTACATTCTGGGTTCTGGGGTTAAAGGTGTAGCCACTATGCCCAACCCTTGCTAAACTTTATTTTGACAGGTGCTGCTTCTTCTATTGGAAGAATCCCTTCACCAGCTGCCTGCTTTTAGTAACCGAATTTACCATTTCCCCTCCAGTCTCCCCTCACCCCGACCCCGGTTGTGCTGTGGTTAACCTCTAGTAAGACCTGAAAGCAGAAACGAGCATTGTCTCCCCTGGAAACCTCCCAACTCCCTTCTGGCACTAATCGTGGCTCTCATTTCACCACCTCTAATTCCTTTTACCACCAGCATCTGTATTCTGGTGTGTTACTTTTCCTCCTCGTGGCTCCCAGCTTGTTGATATGAGGGAATGTGGTGTCTTACTCATTTTTCATTTCTAACTTACTCAATATGCAATGCCTGCCATTTGGTGGGTGTTGAACAAGTGTCTTATGGATGGATCAAGGAGCATTCTGTAGTGTTGTCATTTGATTGACTAAACTTTGGTAATACATACTTCAGTTATGCTTTTTGTTGTTGTTGTTTTTTAAAGAAGCTAATTGTGCCAGAGATGACAGGGCTAGCATTTTCTGTGGTCTGACTGATCATATTAAAGTCATACTTTAAAAAAAAATTGATGTAGTTTAAAAGTTTTTAGTATTTTAAAGTTTTATTTTAAACAAATATAGTTTGGTATTTTGTGCAAATAAAATATTTTTTCTATAAATATGCAGAAGCATGTAAACAGAGTGAGGAAACTATGGCTTTTCATTTTCCTTTTAATCTTTTACCGTTCTCTGTGGGATTTGCAGGTGTGGCTCACTCTTTACCATCACTCCATACTCTTCCTTCTTGAGGAGACAGAGCTCCTCAATTCCAAATGTTGTTCTTGGTTTCCTTTACTTTTCCTGTCCTATTACCTGCCATCAGCAGAGGTAACCAGGGAACAATGTTTTATACACAGAAACTCAGCACAGGCTTTTGTTGGGGAATTGATCCATGAGCCAGGTGGTCACTGTGGTAATGTGTATACACAGTGATGGCTGCAGATTGCAGCTCACTTTACCATCCATGAGAGCCTGGCTATCAAGGAGGCATTCCAGCCCTGGAGGAGGCCTTGTTACTTCTTGACCAGTTAGGTATAACCTGTATTGTTGAGGATTCTCATTAAGGAAATTTACTTTTTGATAAAAAAAGATTTATTTGGAATTGGTAATTTCCTGGCATTGCTGTAGTAGTGCACTTGGTCATTTTTAGGAAGGTAACTATTCTTAGAGATTGAATTAGCAACACACACACACACAGACAGAGAGAGAGAAAGAGAGAGAGAGAAAGCTTTTAGCTAGTTAAATTTTTATCTAATGAAATGCATAAACCACTCCATCCCACTCCTCATGACAGGAGAAACAGATAAAACACCTGACAACTGATTCATTCCTGTTCGCAATGACTAGTTTAAATGAATAGGAAACCTACACATGGAACATAAATCTTCAGGGTTCTGTCAAGTTACATATCTTTTTTCTTTTTCTTTAATGGACAATACATTTTTTCATACAATATATTCTGATTATGTTTCCCCCCCACAAGAAACACATGTAAATGAAGAGACACAGACATTCACACACAGAAATTCCATAAAAACACAAAACTGGAAGAAAACATAAAATATATGCAGACCCACAAGGTAAACAAACAAGAACCCAAAAGCCCTGATAAGCCATTGAGACAGAGTGACTCCAAAGATGCCATTGAGTTTGTTTTCTGGTGGTCATCTGCTGCTGGGCATTGGGTCTCCCTCATGAGTGGTTTGTATACACAGTTAGAGAACTAATTTTCCTTTTATGAGCAGTTATCAATTAGAAATAGCTCCTGGGTTAGCAATGGGGCCTGGGTCTACTTACCGTCTCAGTGCAGGGACCCTGTAAGGCCTAGACTGGTTGAGGCCCCAGTCTCTGGGAGCTCACATGCGCTTTGGGACTGCTGTATTTGGACAGCCTTGTTTCGTTGTTGTCCTCCATCCCTTCTGGCTCTTACAGTCTTTCTGCCTCCTCTTCCAGTGTTTCCTGAGCTGTGGGTGGGTAAGTGGAGCATCTGATGGAGACAGCCCATTTAGAAAAGAGTGTTTCAGGCTTCTCAGTCCAGTGTGGGTCTCTGTATTGGTTCCCATCTACTGCAGGGAGAATCTTCTCTCATGATGGCTGAGTGTATCAGAATGTCGTTAGGAGTCATTTCGTTGCTGTGTTCTATAAGTTACACATTTTTAAGAGAAGTAATGGCATTCATTTAACAATATATCTAAGCCAGCTATGTGGCTCACACTTGTAATCCCATCCCTCGGGAGACGGCAGTAGGGATCAAAGCCATTGTCAGCTTCCCTAGTGAGTTACTGACCAGCCTGGGCTACCCAAGACCCTGTCTCCAAACCAAAAATATTAGTCAGGTACAAATTATAGATAGAAATGCAGGTGAACCTTACTTTGTCTAAAGCCTTATTAGATTTCTCAGTTATTTAAAATAAACCCATACAAGTTTCTGACAGTAAATAGAAGAGTGTTTCCAGTGCTTATAGGCCTATACAGAGAGTAAAGCAGACCAGCAGAGTAGAGTGACTGGGCTCACTGTAATAGAATTCAGCCCAATGAGTTTTTCAGAAGACGGCGTCTGTGTTGAGACCAGGGTGAGGAAGCCACTGTTAGGAAGTTCTGGGTGAGAACGAAGTGAGTATAAGGTTTGGCAGGTGGGGAGCACAGAGGCCATTTAGTCTGGAGAAGAGCGGAGAGTGGAGGCATGGCACGGCTGGGGCAGGAAGCGGGGTGCTAAGTCTGGGACAGATGGGACCTTAAGTAATGTAATGGTCTTAGGAAGTCATTGAAGTGGAGTGAGCCGGGAAGCCCTGCTGCATAATCTCTGCTCCCCAGTGCTGTTTCTGGCTGCTGCATGAAGAACTCGCTGTGGGAATGAAGGCAGGCTGTCAGCAGTGAGTGCAGCCATCCAACCCAGAGAAGACGATGACTCCCTGGGGCAGTGGCAGCACAGATGGCAAGAGGCAGGTAGATCCACAATATATATTTGGAGGTTAACTGTCAGACTTTGTAGATGACTCAGGGATGTGATTCGAGAACGACCCAGGATGACCTTAGATTTGTAAATTGAGTAATTTAATAGAGGGAAGTCCCCTTAATGAGGTCAGGGAAACAGGAAAGAGTCAGGGGTGGGGATGGAGACATTTTAATAATTTTGGCCATGTGAATTCGGAATGACAAATACAATAGGAAGAAGGGATATATGAGTCTGAAAGTTGGATCTAAGAGAGGAGTAAAGACAAAGGGGAGGAAGCCAGTGTGGCTGGTATATTGGGTGTTTAAACATTTGGGCATCAGGAAGAGAAGAGAATGCTTTTTGAAGGAAGTCAGTAACACTATGAGGTCAAGTAGGAATGAGATAGAAATTGGCTGTCAGAAGATGACTATTTGTCTTAGTTAGGGTTACTATTGCTGTGAAGAGACACCACAACCATGGCAACTCTTATAAAGAAAACGTTTAACTGTGGTGGCTTGCTTATAGTTCAGAGGTTCAGTCCATTGCCATCATGGTGGGGAACATGGTGGCATGCAGGCAGGCATGTTGCTGGAGAAATAGCTGAGTGTCCTACATCTTGGAGACAACAGGAAGTCTACTGACTGTCACACTGTGTGAAGCTTGAGAAAAAGACCCCAAAGCCCTCCCCCAAGTGACAGACTTCCTCCAACCAAACTACTTCTACTCTAACAAGGCCACACCTCCTGTGGGGGCCATTTTCTTTCAAACCACCACACCATTATGGGTGATCTTGATAAAAGCTGTCTTGGGAAAATCTGCCTAGTGTAGGTTTCAAAGCAAACAGTTGGGAGCAGAGATAGCATTCTAGACTACAGATGACTCTCCAGCATCTTCCACTTGGAAACTGGGGCTATAGGTGCAGCAGGACATGGAGTCAGGCATATCCCCTCCCTTAGGACTTCTCCAGTATGGGGTGCAGTTGCAGGAGTGTAATCTTGGACGCCGAAAAAAGTTTGAAAAAGAAGTCAGGTGAAATGTTTAGCTTTCACACTGGGCAGAAATGTGACTTCAGGATTTCCAGGGCTGGGAGGGTGGAATGTGGGATGGGTACGGGTGGGGTGGGCTTATTAAAGAATGAAACCCAGATAACGGCCAGAATGCCAATTCTGTACAGGAAGGTGTTTTATTGTTCATAGAGGTTGAAATATTTTTAATAAGAGAATGACCCCAACAAATGACTCCCAGGCAACACTGAAAGTTAAAAGTCAGAGGAGCAGTAAGTATTCTAAGAGTTCTAGAGAAAATGACCTGACCTGGAATTCAGAACCTTTGAAAGTATCAAGGATGAGGACAGAAAAGGACTTAGAGCTCCCCTCCCTAAACATACATAGAGCATTCCTTCTTTAATTATACATAGAGCATCCTCTCAGTAAACTTTATATAGAGCTCCAGACATAGAACTTCCCCTCCTCAACGGTACAGTCCCTTTAAGGATATGAACCAGTAAATGATTATGGAAACTAATAAAGATGACCCCATGGACTAGAAGATCTGGCACAGACTCTGATGACTCTTTAAGAATGGCAGTGTATCCAGGTTTAGAAAGTGACTGGGTTATGTTAGGGTAGGAAACACAAGAATAATGTCAGAATGGAATTCAGGCTATTGATAGCATAAAAAGCTGGTGTTTGTTAGAGATACAGTAACAAGCATGCTTTTTCAAAACTCTCAGCCAGAAAATGCCAATTAGGTATTCTAAAATAAAAGGCTGTGAAATTAGAACATGGCTGAATGTTGTGGCAATCTTAAATTAAGAGTGAGTTAAATCCTCATAGTTTAAAGATAGTAATTCAGGAAACAGTATACAGTAGCCCCTCTTTGTCCTTTGGGAATATGTTCTTCAGCTCCTACCAGA